AAAGCTAATTACCGGTATTACCAGAGGTACAATACTTGGGGTTTGCAACGCGCATAGTACTGTATGGTGACATCATGTCAAGATCACATTCAAGTCTCATCTCGTAGATAGCGAGACTGATGCGACGACCTTCTGACATGACATAGGCAGTTTGTAATAATCAATAAAACATGTATTACCACATTCATAGTGAAACAAATTAATACATCGAAAATATACAGAAAATAAAGTTATCGTAATCCGTCATATCGTGAGCAGATATTTTGGTCCACCTGGACATTCCAGTATCCAAGTTACCTCGGGCATGCGCATTCGCATTTTTCTGAGTTGGAATGCTTATGCGAGAGCGAGATTGAAACGGGATCTTGGTATCATGTCACCGTAGTTGCAAACCCCAAGTAATGTACCTCTGTTATTACACATCATTAATAAATTTTACAAACAGGTATTCCAAAAAGAAACATTCATAAGATTATAAATAACATTGAAGCAAATATAAAACAAAAATATGTAAACCAGTGGAAGTCACAAATCTCAAAAGATAATAGTAAACTTAGAACATTTGCAAAAATTTAAATACTCTTTTGAGCCGTATTTGACACTACAAAACATTAATCATAGAAATGCATTACTAAAATTGAGAACAAGCACACACAAGCTTGAAATTGAAAAGGACAGGTACACACGACCTAAAACACCAGTAAATGATAAAAGTGCAAACAGTGAAAGATGAATGTCATTGAGGATGAATTGATTTGTCCAAAATATGGAAACTTGCGCCAACAACTTTTGTCTGAATTTAATTTTCTACCACATGATTCACACAATACATTCATTCGATTGCTCAGTGCAGAAGAATGTGAAATTATAAAAAAAGTTTCACAGTTTATTTACAAAGCCTTTCAAGAAAGAATAGATAGTTGATAGTTTTGAATTTTATTATTATTAGTCTTAGTTTTATTATTATTAAACTTATTAGTGTTAGTAAAAAAAATTTAACACATTACATTTTACTTTTAACAAATATTTTCTCTTTCTTTATTATTTCAATATTATTATTATACTTTGTTATACTTTTATTGCTACTGTATTTCTAAAGATGCAATAAATATTATTATTATTATATAAATTGCCCTATGATTTGACAATGATCTGAAAACAGGATAGATTTGTTATTACTAATGACAATCATTTTATTTTTCCCCACCTGTTAATGCACCGGTATATCACAGCACACATTAACATTTTGTTATCAAACAATGTATTCTACATGTTTTGCACATGTTGTATGGGACTCACATGGAACAGGACATGGCATGACAACCACCACCCTTTAAGTGAAAAAAACATTTTAAGTTTTATATGGCCTATTTTCGGAAAATAAAGTTTTAAAATGTAATTGTAATTGTAAATACGATTGAATGAATACTACATCAATTCAGTCAATGAATATTAAATTTTTTATAGCATATTACAATAAATAAATAGATGTTGTTGTTGTTGTTGTTGTTGTTATTACTTACATGTCCATCATCACATTTTCCGTGTCTAAACGATGGGATCCCCATCGGAACACCTCCGTGCTTGTCCATAGCGTTACCATGGTTTCCTGTCTCTTCTTTGCTATTATCATCATCAGCATCCATCAGAGACGTCAATTCTTCTTCAAGATCTCGAATATTGATATATGAAGTTACTGAAGATAGCGATGAGGCGAGAATAAGCAGCAACGCTGCGGCGATTGTCGGAGAGAGCCTCATTGTAACCACGTTCTCCCGCACTGCCTCGACTTATCAACTCTCGCTCGCTGTCCTCGGCGAAAGTGACTGTTTTCGTTGCGCGTGACAGACTCGGTCAAATCTCCAATTCTGAATACTGCGAAAAATACAATGCGATTGTCGTGACCGATTTAACCATATGGTTCAGTCAATTCACTAATGCGATGCAGACATAATGTGTAGCGACGATATCTGTTGAGCAGTGTGCCAAACGTCGTCTTCGTCGCGGCTTTATCTTCACAGTCTTGTGTCGCACGAGGGCGCAATTCAGAGATGTGTTGAAAAGATCCTTGATTTGCTTACTAGTAACATATCTTTTCGAAAAACAGATAAGAATGGCAAAAATACGACAATGTTTGCGAAAATGGAGAGTTTTCGTGATCATTCAGTTCTATTTATTTATTTTTATTTTTATTTTCAGGCATTCTTTTCAATTCGAAAAAACATTATAATTTGTAAGTAAGTCTCGTGAGACCATGTGTAAGACCCACGTTCGTATTTCAGAATCTTCAGGAAATGTTTCGTTTTTTAAATATAATGAACAGACTAGTGTTACATTGGCGTAGTTGGTCCGGTTTGTCTCGTCCCTACGTTTGATCATAATGTACCGTTCTTGGTACACGTGCACGTGACAGTTAGTTATTAGGAAATCATAGAAAATTTGTGTACAACAGCGATTACTATTGAGTGACAATAGTAAACATAATATATGTAATTGGTAGTTGTATAAACAGTGGTTTATTCCTAAGGTCAAGTTTTTGGCATAATTATACACGCCCTTCTTTATAAATAATGCTATTTCTATTGTAATTTCTCTATGGACCTTTGTAAATAAAGTATAAATAAAAAACAAAATAAAATAAACATTAGGGATTGAGCATTTGCGTCATTTTGGGATGGCTGTAAGATTTGTTAAGAAATAAATTGAGTGCAAGGTGTTGCAGGGAAAAAATACTTGCACATTGAAAAACAATTAAAAATGTACAGATATGACAAAGCAAAACAAAATGTTAAACTGGTCATAATACTCTTCCAGGCCCACCCTGATTTCAAATGGTTAACCCCTTACTGAGTAGAAACGTCGTAATGTAAAGGAATGTAGCCAACACGAGTATCATACAAATGAGAATAATACCTAGGCATTACACACAGCCTTCGACAAATATTTTTATTAATATTCAAAATTGACATTTTGTTTAATTATTTTTTTAACTGAACCGTAGATTTTGATGTTATCTGAGCTTCCTGGCAATGGTTCTCATGAATATACTATTCAAAAATAATAAGGCCATGAATTTATAAGGTGAGGGAATGCAAGTGTGTGTAAACTGTTATGGGAAGAAGAACTCGCGAGATTTGTAAAAATTGCGAGATGATTACAAAATCGAATGATAAACACACATGGAAAAATATATTTTATTGACACGCACGCAGAATATGATATTTATTTATTTATTGATATCAGGCACGTAGTTTTTTTAGGTGGATCGGACGAACCCCCTAAAACGTGGTCGTTATTACATTTCTGACATCTAGTTGCATGGTAAATAAGGAGGATGGGTCGACATTATAAAAATATGTTATATTAATATTTATTTTACTAAATTTGGATGTTGCGTCATTATGGTTTGAGTTCAATATTATTCCACGATAATATATTTTATATTAGTTTTTAGACATGTTTATATTACAATTAAATTGTATACAGTCTTAAATTTATATTTAAATAAACCAAAAAAATATTTTTTTCACTCATATATCTAATAATTCAGTGATTTAATATTGGTGATAGACAATACTGATAAACAATTGATTAAATATGTGATGTCATCATTTGACGCTTAGTAGCGTGCAGAGCACTTCCTGTACAGTTATTCATTTCAGTTTAGTTAATGAAATATTCCAAAATTTAGCATAAACTAAGGGATACTCATAGAAATTTAAAGCCAAAAATGAAGTTAAATTAAAAAAAAGACAAGGCAAAAACTGGAATTTTGCAAAGCTTGCAAATGTAAAATCTGGATTAGATCATGGAGGTTGGACTAAGCCCTGGTTTGCTACATTGAGTATAAGCATAAACACATGTTTATATTATTCCGGTGTAGTGGCTTAACAATATGATGTGGACACGCTGGACAAAAGCGCCAAATTTGTAGGGGTACTTCCTTAGGTGATAAGTTTTGAATCTGGAAGGGGTGCCAAAATATCGGTAAATTCTGTAAGCAGATAGAGGGCGGTTTTCAAAATGGCCACAAAAAATACTTGAAAATGGCTCATTATGGGGTAACATAGTCCCTTAAAACGCATAATGGACAATATTTTGAAGGTTTCCTAATCATATAAGTATATTAAAACCATGACCATGTTAATGACATCCAAAGACATATTTCCAGTGAGTGCTGTAATTCAAAATGGCCGCCAAAATACCATAAAATGGCTTTTAGCTGTGAAAAC